CCCCCCCCCCCCCCCCCGTCCTCTGCTACAAGCATGTTTAGTTGAACACTTAAATCAACTGTCTGGTGGAACTTTTCCCACTGGAGTCAGTTACAGTATGTTTGAAATTGAACATCAAGTATAGTCATCACTTGGATATAACATGCAGTCTCTCTTTCAGGCAATAATGCACTATAGATGACTGATTTCTTTTTTAAAGTTAAACAGTTCTCAGAGGAATTTTCTTTATTGGGTGAAAGATAAGGTTTGCATGAAAAATCAACGTGTACCAAGAGCTACTAGTGTCTGACTATAATAACTATTCTGCAACCTTTTTACAAAATGCTTCTGTCACAGCCCCTTCGTAGAGATGCTCTTAGTGGAAGAAGCCCTGTGTGGCTATTTATGCAGGTGTCCTTGTAGCTGAGGTAGAGATATCTTGCATCTGTGCAAATAGCTTTGGCACCTGGTAGATCCCCTGACATTTGGAGGGTGCAGCCGCCAAACTCCTTGTTTGTTCCCCACAGTCTTCTGGGGTGTTGCATACACAGGGTATACAGTGTGAATTAAAAACAGGCAGGAATCTTATCAGGGGATAAGGTACAACACTGCATTTATTGGAAGATAAAACATGCAACATAAAAGAAATACAGAACAGTAAGGTTATCTGCTTCGCTCATTCCCATGCATACTCATTCATTCCTTCATTTACACAAAAGAAACAAGCACACACACATATAGGTAGTTAGTCCTGCAAAGGTTAAGGTGTTACTAAGTGCTAAAGTTGCTCAGGTCAGTCTGGTGGCTAGCCACACTAACCATGAGGGCTGGAGTCAGGTCTTGTTGGACGTGCCCAAAACTCCTTCTTGCAGGTGGAAAAGACCCAAAGCCTTGTCTTCGTGTTTATTCTTTAGTGATGGCTGTCCATACAAGTCTATGGATTCTGCTGAGTCAGACATGAAGGTCATCCTCCTTGTCCTGTTGTCAGGCTGGGATTAGTAGGACATGATCTTCTGGCTTGGTAGTCTGCAATCTTCAGCGGGGGTTGTTGCTTGCAGTCTTCAGCTGTCAGGGTGAAGGATGATCTAGTATTTGGTAATCCTTAACTTCTGACTCGACTTTGCTGCAGCCTTTAACTGTTAAACCACAGAAGGCTATTTTCACCTGCTGCAAGAGGACTGTCTTCCTTCATGTTGTCACATACATGCATCATTCATTCTTTCATTACCTCTTTTCACATAAGTGGGACATACCACAAATCTTACATAAGCATTTTCCTTACACTAAATTTATGTTCTAAAATCATGAGACCAATAGGTCAAATATATTTATGCTAAGCAATAGGAAATTTAAAATAGATGGTTAATTCCAGAGCACTAATAATGACTGATTGAAATATTATAAAAAGTAAATCATAACAAGATTAACTTTATCTTAATGGTTAAATAGTTCATTATTTAAAAAGAAAAACAAAAACATAAGCAATTAAGACGACAGTTATAGTTACTGCAATATTACAGGGGTAAACATCATACCTCTGATGGAAAAATTTTTAAGAAACTTTTAAGAAACTGTCTTCTGTTGGCCCTCTGTGGGTTTGACCATAGGTGGGTAAGATTTAGCACCCGTTGGTACCATAAACGCTGACTCCTTAATGCCAACAGTTGTATATCGGCTCTTCTCTGTTATTTATTGTGTTTTAATAATCTTAATATGTAAATATACTTGGGGCTTTTACAGATTTCGTATGCATAAATATTGTATGACTTTTTCAAAGTGATGCAAGGATATATAGTAATCATTAATAATAATAGTTCTTTACCATAGATAACAGCAATAGCTTGCATAGTTCAGCAAACAGAGCACTCAAACTTCACTGACGAAGTCTGTGCAGATTGTTTCATTCATAGAGGACTGCTTATAAATAAAAATGTAGTTATTGTCAGGTTTCATAAATTATGATAAGTGGAATTCAAAATGTTCACATTCTTATCTAAACTATATTTGATGCTTTAGGACTTGCTGTTTACCAAGAATTGGATTTGAGTGGCAAAAACTTCCAATTCTATCTTCAGATCTTGTTATATGAATTTGTGATGCATCTCAGAGCCCTTTGCTTCCTATAGCTCCACCAAACTCCCTTCCATTTTGAGGGTACGTGATGCCAGAGTAGTATGGATTGATTTTGATTCCAAGTCGTCTTAATTTTAAATGAGAAAAGAGGAAAGCGATACTTTCAAAACCAAATTGTCTTTTCTGATTGCTGCTTTCATTGAATCAGATATTCATTGTCATCTGAGAAAAATACTCACCTGCTAGCTTCTTTTACTTGCCCTTGGGATCTTCTATCTAAGAGAAATGTTCTCTGTTCCTGTAGGCCATCTAGTCGTATTGTTCTTATTACTTCACTCCAAAGGACAGTACTCTTCCTTGAGGAATCTCTCTTCCTTCTTCCCATTCATTTTCTGTGTCTCTCTATAATATAGCTTTAATTTGGCTGAGCCTAAGCATACTCTGTTAAATTTCAGTTAGGGGTAACATAACCACCCCCCCAGTGAACCATTAGATTTGCAAGGAAATAACTGACATGGTTTTAGAGAGCTGTGAATGATATTTGTGTGTGCTATAGAAAGCAAGGTGATGTAACTAATAACATTTTACTTCTAAAGTAGTTATATTCCTTTGCTTTTCTTATAGGTCCATGTATATATTTGGGGGGTTTTCAAGTGTTCTTTTGAATGACATCCTTGTGTACAAGCCTCCAAACTGTGAAGCATTTAAAGATGAAGAACTATGTAAAAATGCTGGTCCAGGGATTAGATGTCTGTGGAACAAAAAACATTGTGAATCCTGGGAATATGGGCAAGCTAATAATGTCCTTAGAGCAAAGTGTCCCAAAAAATCAGGTGAGTAAGAGACTTATCTCCTGTTTGTGTTTTTGCAGTGATTTATTCTTATACAGTGTTACAAATAAGTCTAAGGATGAGAGTGGTAACTATGAAAATGAGGATAGAGAGAGGTGGCAGCAAAGTTATCAGTGTATGGTAGCTGAAGAAAAGCACTTGAATGAGGAATGGCAAAAGATGGAAAATAGGGCTGTGTGAAACTTTGGTAGCTGATTCAATTTGGAAGAGATTTGGCCCAATTTGAGGACTGAATCTCTGAATCTGAATTGAATTGGGAGACCCATTAAAAAGTCCAAATTGAATCGGAAGCCTCCAAATCAATTTGAAGATGCGGGAAGTCCCCACTCGCTGCTGCAGGGAGCTGGACCTGGGCTCTGTGCTGGTAAGTAGGGGATGGGGGGCTGGAGGAGGGGGGAGGGAACCACCAGGGGACTCCCACTCAACCCCATCCCCCACCTGCACGCCCAGCACCCCCATGGCTGCCCTGCCTGGCCCCAGTGTCCCAGCACTTTAAACGCCCCCCGCACCAAAAAGGCCCTCATTAACCAGCTGCAGCAGCAGCTATAAGGGCCTCTGGGGGGCTCATGACAGAGCTCCACCATGTGGCATGGGGCAGTGGGAATCGTCCCCATGTTTGACACCTGCGTGACAGCTGTCGCATTGTGTGGGTACAGTGCTGCTCAGCAGGGCACTGTGCACTATTCTGGAGCTGGGGCAGCTTCAGCAGTCACCCAGAGCCTGGCAGCGCTCAGCCCGAACAGCCCCAGCTTCTGGACAGCGTACAGAGTCCCACGGCACCCTGCTGAGCCAC